AGCCTGCGGTCGCCGCCGACGGTCTACAAGCACACGAGCCGCTTCCTGGGCTTCGCGTCGCCGGAGGCGCCGTCGGCGCCCGCGCCCGCGGCGGCGCCGGAGCCCGTCGACGACGACGAGACGCAGCTCCCGGCGCCCCCCGCGGCCGAGGCGCCCGCCGCGGCCGAGGCGCCCGAGCCCGAGGCGCCCGCGGCGCCGTCGCCGGCCCCGTCCTCGAGCAGCGAGGGGAGCCAGCCGTGGCTGTCGCGGCGGCTCGTGGACCACTCGTTCGTCGACGAGCGGGGCTTCATCGAGACGCGCAAGGTCTGGGTCGACGGCGCCGCCGAGGCCGAGGCGCCGCCGCCGCCGGCGCCGCCGCCGCCGGCCGCGGCGCGCGACACGGCGGCCGAGCTCGCGCGGCGGCTCGCGGCGCGCGCGTGGGTCGGCGTCGCCGCGCGCGACGACGGGGCCTGCCCGCGGCCCGTCGCGGTCGGCGACTACGTCGTCCACCGCCACAACGACGCCGCGCCGCTCGACGCGGAGAACTTCTGCGCCAAGGTCACGCACGTCGCCGCGGGCCGCGGCGCGACGGCGGCCCGCTGCACGTTCCTCAACTGCGAGGTCCGGAGCGGCCACCTGTCGCTGAAGCGCGCGGGCTACGGCGAGCGGTGGCGCTTCGCGACGGCGGACGAGGCGTCGCAAGAATTGGCCGCGCACGCGCTCGCGCTCGACGCGGCGGACGCGGGCGACGACGTCGCGTGCGGCCTCTGCGGGTCCGGCGACGACGCCGCGACGCTGCTCCTGTGCGACGGCTGCGACGTCGGCGCGGCGCACACGGGCTGCCTGGGCCTGTCCGCGCTCCCGGACGTCGACTGGTTCTGCCCGGCCTGCGGCGGCGCGCCCTACGACGACCTCGTCTGCCGGCCGAAGCCCAAGGCCAAGGCGGCGAAGAAGACGCGCAAGGCGGCGGCGCCCAAGGGCGACGCGAAGCGCAAGGCGGCGGCGCCCAAGGGCGCCGCGCCGGCGAAGAAGACGCGCGAGGCGCGGCGGCCAAAGGGCGACGCGCGCGCGGCGGCGGCCGAGGACGACGCGCCGGGCGCGCGGAAGCGGCGCGCCGTCGACAAGGTGCACGCCTTCGTGAAGCAGCACGGCATCTCCGCGGCGCCCCGGCGCGACGCGCCCGCGGACCCGGCGCCCGTGACGCTCACGCCGCCGGCGGCCGCGCCGCCCCAGGCCGCGCGGCGGACGCCCGACGAGATCGCGGCGTCGCGCGAGGCGGCCCTCGAACGGAGGCGCCAGCGCGAGTCCGCGGGCTCCGCGGAGCCCGCGCCCGCGCGGCGGACGCCCGACGAGATCGACCGCAAGCGCCGGGCGGCCGTCGCGCTGCGCGACGAGAAGAAGCGAAGGCGATCCGCGGGCGGCTCGCCCGGCGCGGCCGCGGCGGCGCTGAGCGACGCGGCGATGCGCGGCGGGTCCATGCCGCGGTGGCCCGCGGTCGGCGAGCGCGTGCTCCACCGGCACAACGACGACGCCGCGCTCGAGGCCGAGAGCGTGCTCTGCCGCGTGACGAAGCTCCAGCGCTGCGGCAAGAAGGAGGGCCACCTGCGCCGCGAGTACAGGGTCGCCTTCGAGGGCTGCGCGGCGCGCGACGGCGTGCTGCTCCTCGCCGCGGCGCAGTACGCGGAGCGCTGGCGCTTCGCGACGCCGAACGACGTCGCGCGCCACTGCGGCGGGCTCGTCTGCAAGGACGAGGAGGCGGCCTGCTTCCGGTGCAAGGGCCTCCACGACGAGGACCTCATGCTGCTCTGCGACGGCTGCGACGAGGGCGCGGCCCACATCTACTGCCTGGACCCGCCGCTGAGCTCCGTGCCCGCCGAGGACGAGTCCTGGTTCTGCGCGGCGTGCGCGGCGAAGCGGCGGAGCACGATGTCGAGGAGCCTCTAAGTATCGGGGGCGCTTAGAGCGGGGGGCTCGCGGGCGGGCCTTCAGTAGACCTTCCTCTGGGCGGCGGCGGGGACCGCGGCCGCGGCGCCGGGGTCCGGCGGCACGAAGCTCTCGAAGTCGTGCTTGAGGCCGCCGTGCATCGGCGCCTTGTCGCCCTGGTACTCGTCGAAGTGCATGCGGTAGTTGCGCATGAGCGTCCAGGCGCGGCCGCCGTAGAGCGCGTAGTTCAGGTCGAGCGTGGAGATGCCCAACACCCAGGCGACGACCTTCTTGCCGTAGTGGACGTACCACGGGTCGAGCTTGTTGTCGACAAAGGGCCCGTAGTAGTCGTTGAAGAGCGTCGCGAAGCAGGCGAGGAACGGGTTGTTGATGTCGCCCCCGAAATACTTGCCCGCGAGCCAGACGAGCACGTCCTTCGTGTCGCCGCGGAGGCTCAGCGACACGGACGTGTCGTTGATCTTGATCGCGTGCCACGAGAACGGCGGGTTGATGAGCAGGTCCCCGGGCTCGATGACGAAGTGGGTCGCCGCGTGGGTCATGTCGTCGGTCCAGGGCTGGTTGTGCTTGAACGCCTCCTGGACGCCGTGCTCGAAGGACGGGTTCACGACGCCCTTGCCGTTGACGACGCCGTGCGCGTGCGGCGCGACCTGCACCGGGTACCTGCGTGGAACTCAAATCTTCAACCCGACTTCAATGTGAGCGTACGCGACAGTTTCGACGCAAGTTCTTCGGCTGTGCTTCGAGAACCTGACGAGAGCAATTCGATTCGTCCAAAGATCAGCCGAATCGACGTCGATGTGACCGAGCTCGAGAGTTCTGAAGTTTGGCGGGGACCCCCCGAACCAGCGGTCGAGTTCCACGCAGCCGGGTACTGGCCCTCGGGCAGCTTCTCCATGGTGTACCAGAGCTTCTGGCCGCAGAGCTGGAAGAGGAGGTTCGCGTCGATGGCGTTGTGCCAGGACGTCGACACCTCCGTCTCGTTCGTCGAGCCGAAGATGACGTGGCCCGGGTACTCCAATTCGGTGAACAAGTCGGGCACGATGCGCGCCTTGATGGCCCGGAGCGCGGCCTTGTGCACGGGCTCGTAGTTGCCCGTGCCGTAGCCGAAGCTCCCGTAGATCTTCTCCGACTTGGACTGCAGCGTCTCGCGGACGCGCCGCCACGGGAACGCCGCCTTGTCGCGCTCGTTGAAGCCGCCGAGGTAGCCGAACTTGGTCTTGAGCTGGACGTCGTCGTCGAGGTAGTCGAAGTCGCAGCCTAGCGTGTTGTTGAAGGCGTTCCGCACGACCGTGGGCAGCCGGAACCCGTCGCTCCAGGCGTTGATGAGCTCGTGGGTGACGCTCTCGGGCATCTCCTCGAGGACGACGAAGCGCACCTCCGGATCCTTCGCCGCGCACGTCGCGTCGCCCCAGTCCGCGTCCGGCACTTTGGACGCCGCCAGGGCCGCGAGGCCCGCCCCGACGGCGCGCCGCATGTTCTTCCCCCCAAAGGTAGGCCGCTTTCTGCCCTGCGCAGGGCTGCCACCACTCGAGCGCGCGCGCGGAGGTTAGGGGAAACGTCGGCTCCCGAGAATCTACCATGCAACATTGAGCCTCGAGGCGTATGGGCTGCCTGCCCTGACAGTTTCCCATGGGGCTCCCGCCGCGCGACTCGGCGACGCGGTCGCTCGTGTCGCGCGACGGCGGCCCGGAGAGCAAGGTCGTCCTCGAGCTGTTCCAGGCCTTTGACCACATGGAGCGCACGCCGCGCGCGCCCGTCGCGGCCCGGAGGCCGCCGACGCGGCCCGGCGAGCGCCACGAGGCCCACCGCGAGCTCTACGTCGAGGAGGCGCGGCGCGCGATCCTGCTCGCGAGCCAGTACGCGGACCTCAACGCCGCGACGGCCGCGCAGCTCGAGGCCGCGCGCGGCGAGCGCGACGCGGCCGTCGACGCGACGGCGGCGCTCCGGGCCTGCACGGACGCGCTGCTCGTCGAGGCCCGGCGCGGCGCCGCGCCGCCGGCGGCGCCCGCGGACGGGGACGCGCCGCGGGCGCCGCCGCCGCCCTGCGAGACGCCCGCGCCCCGGCGGCGGCGGCCGGGCGCGGCGCCGCCCGCGCGCGCGCCGTCTCCCGCGTCGCCGCCGCCGCCGCCGCCCGTCGACGCCGCGGCCCTCGACGCCGCCGTGAACGCCGTCCTGCGGCAGCGCGACGCGCTCCACCTGCTGCGGCTCCACTACCTCGCGGACGACGGCCGGCCGCGCTACGAGCAGCTCTGCGGCGACCTCGGCATCGTGCCCCACCTCGCGGACTTCCGCACGGCCCAGCGCATCGCCGCGGAGGTGCGGTCGCCGACGCTGCCCGTCGCCGAGTTCCTCGCGCGCGTCGCGCTCTCCGTGCGGCTCTCTTCGCGCGCGGCCGCGCCGGACGCGCGCGTGCGGGAGCTCCTCCAGGTCCTCGACCTCGGCAAGAAGCGCATCGTCCTCGCCGGCGGGCGCACGATCCGCTTCCGCGTCTGGGGCGACGACGACGGCGCGCCCGCGGGCCGGAGGCGGCCCGCGACGGAGCGGAAGCCGCGGCGGGCGCCGGACACGCTGCCGCCGCCGCCCTTCTCCGCGCCCGCCGCGGCCCGCGGCCAGGGCGAGACGTTCCTCACGCGCGGACTCTAAGCGGTGCGGGTGCGGGTGCGGGCCGTGCGGCCGGAGGCCTCCCAGCCAATCAGCGAGCGCCTTAGCTTGCGGCAAGGCCCGCGCGCGCCTGCTCCGGCCGCGTCGCAGCGCTTCCGCTTTCCACTTTCAAAAGGTCGCAGCTCGCCGGCTTTCCGGCCATGGCCGACGGCGCGGGCTTCGGCTACTTTATGGGCTTTCTGACTGGCACGGCGGCCTGCGGCTTCGGCCTCGGCGTCGTCGCCACCCTGACCTACCAGCGCATGTCGATCCCGCAGCGGCGGGCGAACGCGAAGTTCGACCATTTGAGCGACGACGAGGGCAACGCCAACGCCGTCGACGGCGCCGACAGCAGCGACGACGAGTCCGAGCCCGACGCGGCCGCCGACGCGGCGGCCGCGAGCAACGCGAACAGGTGGGGCCTGCTCGACGCGCCCTACAAGATGCTGCTCTGCGTGAACATGGACCTCAAGGACGAGGCGGGCAAGTCGACGAAGATGAAGCCGGGCAAGGTCGCCGCGCAGTGCTGCCACGCGGTGCTCGGCGCCTACAAGCGCGGCGCGCGAAAGGCGCCGGCCGCGGTCAAGTGGTGGTCCATGACGGGCCAGGCCAAGGTCTGCGTCAAGGTGCCCAAGGAGGAGGAGCTCCTCGAGCTCCAGGCGACGCTGGCCGCCGCGGGCGTCGTGTCCTACCTCGTCGAGGACGCGGGCCGGACGCAGGTCGCGCCGGGCTCCAAGACCGTCCTCGCGGTCGGGCCCGCGCCCGTGAAGGTCCTCGACCAGTTCACGAAGCACCTCAAGCTGTACTGAGCGCGGCGGCGGCGTAACGCGCGCGCCGGCTAGCTTTGACCCCCGGCCGCTTGTGTCAAATTCTAGGCCTGTCGCCGGACGCCGCACGATAGTGGACGGGCACGCGCTCTACGCCGCGAGCCGCATCGGTACCGCCGCAGCATCTTCGCTCGGTCGCGGCGTCGTCGCGCGGCGCACCGCTGAGACCGCCGCCGCGCCGCCGCCGCGCGCCGCCGGTGTCCGCCGCGCCGCCGCCTAGCCGCCGCCGAAGCCGAAGCGCCGAAGCCCACTTCGCGGCCGCCGCCGCCGCCGCGCCGGCGCCGCCAGAATTCGACGAAACGACCATGGAGGACAGCGACTTCTTCATCCCCGGCGGCCTGCTCGAGTCCATGGGGGCCGACGACTTTGGCGGCGACGACGCGATGATGCTCTCGATGGAGGGCGTGAACCCGCGCGCCAAGGAGTTCACGCCGACGCTCCCGAGCGCCACGCCGTCGAAGGCCACCGCGGCCGGCGCCTTCGACGACGACGACGAGGGCTTCGCGCG